GGGTCATTGAGGGCCATAGTGTTAGGTTCCTCTAGACTCTTTCTGACCAGTAAACCCAGTCTTTTTTTTACCTTTTAAATTACATAATTTTGAATTTTGCTCCACATTTTCTCCCACTCTACTGAGATCTTCAAATGGGCTCCTTCTCAGGACAGTTGGTTTTAGTAGCCAAGTGTGATTTAGTTCTTCTGGTCTGAGTTGTGGACAGTGATGTTCAAAAGTTCCATTAGTCCATTGAACTAACTGATTCCAACCTTACCATTCTTCTTTCTTCTGCACATGGAGAGACCAGCACCTGCACTTTAGATGGAGGATCATGAGCTTTCAAGATCTCAGACACTACTCACCAAAGTAGGATGTAGAACACTGTCTTTGTGGACTATGTTATACCAATTGACCAAAGTGATCCATGAGACTTTGGTCCTGATCTCCAAGGTGCAGCAACACATTGCTTTAAGATGTTTGATAACATCTAGAAAGTTTTCATCATTTTTTCCTGCTGTGTGTTCCACCACATTCATAGCTATGTTTTCAGGAGAGGTACATACTCATGTAAAATATCCTCTGTCAACCTCTTATGTATTTATTGTTGTTGTTGTTAAGTGCCGTTGAGTCTATTCCAACCCATGGTGACCCTGTATAAGGTTTCCAAGGTGAGATTAAACTACTGACCTTGCAGTTCAAATGGCTTTGCAGTCTGACGCATTAACCCACAGTGCCACACCAGGACTCCTTTGTATTTGTAGCATATATAAATATGTATGTATCCCACTCTTCCTCTGTTACTCATCCAGCCTGTGTATCAATCATTAATCTACATAGAGATATATGCATCTACATATATCACTATTTACCTTTAGAGTTTTTTTTTTTTTTTTTTTTTTTTTTAAGGTAATGAACGTTTAATGTTATCAGTATAGGGTTTCCAAGAAGCAATGGGTGGGTTTGGTAGGTTTGAACTGCCAAATTTGTGGTTAGCTGTCTAGTGTTTAGCCTACAGGATCACAACAAGACTTCATATAAGTGGTAGTAATATTCCCATTTTATAGGCAAGATTTTTTTCTCTTGTTCTTTGAACATGTTATCAGAAGATTTTAGTCCATGAAGATGAACATATGGGTGGTTATAGTGGAGGGTCAACTAAAAAGAGGAAGTCACCCAACAAGATGGATTGACAGAGTGACAGAAATTGTGAGGATGGTACAGGACAGGGCAATATTTCATTCTGCTGTACATAGGGTTGCTGTGCTTCAAAATCAACATAATGGTACCTAACATTAGAAATTTGTTAAGGACACTCAAGAGGTAGTTCCATCTTGGATCACAGTCATTATCTATTGAACAACAAGGAGTTTGGAAAATATTAATGGGGCCAATGTCATAGTTATTGTAAATATTACAACGATTATTCTATGAAGTTTATTAGTGCCATATAAAGGCTAAAATACCAGGGCTCTCTATAAATCTAACACATGTTATTTAAAAAAAACTAAATAAAAAACATATGAAGGGAACCAAGGAAGTGTAAGTATCCTTACTTTAAATGGACTGTCTGGATTAATTACTTTAATAAACAAATTTTGAAAATTAATAGTTATTACTATTATACAAGGAGCTCTGGTAGTTTTGTGGTTATGAACTGGACTGTTAA